TTCAGCATCCCTGCTTTCACTATGAATCCAACCCGATCTTATCGTAATCCCTCGCTTTAAAAAACAGTGATGAGAGCAGCGTGATGATAATGCAGTTAGATTCACAAATGACGGGGGTTGTACTTCTCTGCGGAGAAGGTACTTCATGTGCCATGTTTCATGGCCAGAAATCGGTTCCCTCATATTTCCCAATGTACGTGTACTGAAAGCCAGCAACAGGGGTACCCCCAGGAGGCCCGTCGCGCGGCAAGAAGGCAAAGTCAGCGGACGAGTCGCGCGCGTACTATAGGGATTTCGCGTCAAGTTAAATAGATGTCCCATTGCACGTCCTACATCGCACATCACGCGCTGCAACTCGTCCGCCGACTCTGCCTTCTTGCCGCGCGACGGGCCTCCTGGGGGGTACCCGCACGGCATAGGTGCGTGCAAAAAAGTTGTCGTTTCACTGGTTGTATATACCCCCCCCCCCCCGCTCGACGGCTGTTTTTGGGGGAAAAGTGGGTGGAGTTTCGGAGTTTTAGGTAGGTTTTGGGCTGTGTCAACTGGTCTCAGAATCAAATACTATAGAAGAGGGAGAGGTCGCGGTGGAGGAAGGCTGGTTGTATTGGGGGGTCGCAACTGTGTGTTGGGAGGGGTCGCAACTGGACCCTCTCGAGAGGGAGGGGGTCGCAAAAATCCCGAAAATGTTCGAACGTGACGGTTGACCCTGACTCAGTGGCCGTTAGCGGGATCCGAACCGCGAACCGTGAACACGATTGCTGTATCTGCTGCCTTTGCGCTACCCCTCCTCCCGAATCATTCCCACATTTGGTTAGCCAAAAAGACCCAGCGAATTTATGTCGCATCTGCTCTGCACTTTTATCCAGAGGCCTCTGATCTCATAAATAGTTGCTTTTTATGAGCCACTACTGCGGCGTTATCGGCGAACATTGCTCTTATCTTTTCGGACACACGCCACGAAAAACCCTTTGTTCGTTTTGATTTTCAGCCTACTCCAGCTTGTGGTGTGTTACGATTCCATTGATACTTGGGTTCGAAGACGAGATTATTCCAAATCAATCCCTCGCCTAGATAGATCGATTTTGTAAATCCTCTCAAATGCCATCTTTTTTTTCGTGGTTTTTTTTTTCAAATTTCAGAACGGGAATATAGCTTCTCTAAGGAAGAGAGAGTTGCCATTAAGCTCTCCAACAGTTTGCGAACAGTCACCATCTGTTTTTTGGTTGCAGGGCATCAACGAGAACAACTCTATGCTTCATAAACTCGTAGATATCATCGCACCACATGGACGGAAGTGGTGGAGTGGAAAGCGGCGCCGCTACCACTCTGATGATCAGGGGATCAAGTCTTGGATCGCATGCCGTCCAGGCTGACCAATCCTTCGATCCTTCCAAGATCTGTGAAATGGTACCATTGTCTGGAGGATGAAAGCAGTGACCTGTTCGATGCTGGCTCGTTCGCATGACAACGTTTCAGAGTGAACGCCTCCATATTTTTGAAGTGATTCTGAACAGAGGTAGAATGCATGGCGCACCCTACTGAGATCAACGCCGAATCTTTCACTCTTGACCACTTACCTTATTATATTGGGACTGTCATTTAATTTCCCTTTCTAGCATTATTTCCGGTCTCATCCTGCAACTTAACGTGTAGCAGTTTAGCAAACGTGACTTCAGCAGTATGAAGAGAGATATTGGAACTTATAATTTTAGCTCCGCCCCCTTTGGTGCAGGCGCAGCACATGCATCCCTCTTTTCCTTCGTCAGCCTCTTTCTCCTTTTTTTTAGCCTCCTGGTTATCAGAGAACCATGACTGAAATTGCTGCTCGTAGTTTGCCTACGTCACCCCGCCCATCACAAGAATTTTATTCATCTTCCTTTCCCTGCAATTTTCCATTCTTGATATTTTCTGCTGGATCGATTTTGACAATTGTATGACAAATATTACCAAGTCGAGGGTACAGCTTGCCCATTATGGGTGAGGTCGCCCTCATCTGAGCCTGCTGCGTAGTTTTTTTTGGGTCCCTTGGCAGCGTTAGAACTGAAAATTGATTTTTTTGGTGATTTCATCAAAACCGGAATCATTCAAGCTACCGTTCACTCTTTTCGTGTTGCCTCACCTTTGAGGGTATTTTTTCAGTCTTCGCTTGCGATGATCGCAATATTGCAGCAGATAGGGAAAGATCTGTGCTTAGCATAAGGCAAGGGGCCCTACGAAGGGCTAGTTTGGCTAGTTTTATGTGATAAGCGTTCACTCATTCTGCGCCTACTCTGCGCCGCAAATTCGCCACAAATGAACAGTTTGGTGTACCCGGCAGAAGGCCCATCCCGCGGCAAGAAAGCAGAGACGCAGAAAGGCCGGCGGACAAGTCTTAGCGCGAATGCGAGGTGGGACGTATAATAGCACATTCGATTTAACTTGACCCTGAATCGTTACGTACATGCCATGATCGTTCGCTGACCAGTCCGTGTTTCTGTCTTCTCGCCTCGCAACGGGCGTCCTGGCGGGCACCCGATAGCTTGAATAGGTTGAGATGAGTTCTGTGGACACTGCTCCTTTTCGCCTATCGAAGCAAATGGACCTGAAGGCTTCATTTCGTTCTAAATGCCTGTTGTAGGAGTTTCTCACAATAACTGCTTGGCCCATGATCCTACGTCCTACCTCTCAATTCTTCATTTTCGTTCAGTCGCAGGGTTGCATTTTTGATCGGTTTTCGTATACGGATAGAATCATTGACCATCAGCGATTACTTGTCCCGCCGCGCCTTATCCCTCAGTTTTCCCCCTGTGCGTAATGCCGTTTCAATAAGTCCGCGGTTACGGTAGTTCCCCATCCAAGAAAAAAGTGTTCTTCAGTTCTCCTTTTTTTAGTATCCAATTCGGCGGTTTGTGGTTGGACTTTTGACTCGCTGTTGGGCTTCTCTTTCTTTTTTTGCTATAATATGACAGAAAAGTCGCACTGAAACGTTTCGGCCGCGATTTTGTCAGGAGAAAGAACCTAAGGGATAAAGTTTAGGTCAGCATGTTTATGCTTCCATACAACCTGGAACCAATTTAGTATCCAGGTGGGTTGTTTCGGAGCTCGGTTGGCTTGGGCAGCGCGCGATTTTATTTTGGGCTTGATCCCCTAACTGTGATCGTGGTAGGCAGCGCCACTAACTTCGGCCCTCAATATTGCTAACATAGTAAGTATCCATGAAGATACCTGAAACGTAAAGCTGAAATCATTTGGGTGATTAGAGTTGAGGACAGGGGGTACGATAAATTGGAGGTTGAATAAAGGGAAGTTCTTTCTAGAATGAAGTGAGGCATTAGCTTCAAGGGACGAAACGAGGCGTATCCTGCTAAGGTGAGTCCGTAGCAGCCCAGCCGGGCCTTATGGTGAATTCTTTTCAAGGCAGTCCACCAATTGGCTGCCCCCACTATTGAACTTTCGCTATCTTAGTGGAGAGGCTAAACATTCGATGACGTCAACACCCGTTTTGAAGATTTCAGGCCGCTGGTCTTCATTTTCCCCTTATTTTTTCCTCGCTGCTGCATCTATCAGCAGCTCTATTTTCGTTCCAACCAGACCACCACTTTATCGTACCATCTGCCTTTAGGTCTGACTATTGAGTTCATAAGCTGTGATTGTGTCGTCTTTATATGCGTGAATGATCAGCTAATGAGCTAGATATTCAACTCAGCACAATTTCAGGTCACCATGTCCGTGTCATCGGTGGGCACAATGAACGGCAACGAGCTGCGGCCACTTCGTCGTCCAAGGTGCATTGGCAATGAGTTTCTGATGGACATACCTTATTTCTATGAGACAAAGCAATATTTATTTTATCTATATCAATTTTTGAAATCGTTTTTTTTTCATGACACCTAATTAGTCTACTGCGTAAAGGAGGTGAATCTACAAAAAAAAATGATTCCAGGTTTTTCTTGCTATTTATTTGACACAAGAAATCTATTGCACTCCACAGTCTAATACAAGCGTCCTGCCATACTACACAACCCACCACAGTTACATTTCATTTTGAGCTCCTATTTTTAAGTGCTTGATAGAAAAATAAAGAGAATAAATAAAACTTAAAGACACATTCCACGTTCCCCGAGGTGAAGCTGTCGTACTCGAAAATCCAAGTAGAGTTGCGAAGGAGACCGTCATGAAGGCAGACAGACTAACCGAAAGCAAAAAACTACTGCAAACAGAGGCCTATATTTAGGCAACTCACAAAAAACCGCTATATTTAGGCAACTCACAAAAAATACTGTTCGCTGAGAATAGGAGAGCATAAGGGACAAGTGAGACGCTGACATCAACTTATTCGCAAGGGTGGGTCCACATCTATAGTAAAAATTCATAAACAGGGCCGTTTTGAAGCTCCCATGGATAACGTTACTTATGCGATTGCGGAGATCCATCACTACAGAGATTTGGATGTGAAGAGCGAAGCGCTCGTTTCTTAATCGATGCTTGCTTGGACGCATGGCGCATTCTGAGCCCACTGGCATTTGAATGTCCACTTGATCACTGGAGGATGGTAAGTATCTCCTCTCGAACTGAATATATGTATGTATTAGCAATGAGAAGACCCGAAAGCGATAAGCCTTTTGTTGGTGAGGGAGGAATTCGATCGCTTCCTAACTCATGGGCCTAGCGCCGTTCTCGGCTGCACAATTTCTAGCTCGAGTTTTAGTGAACTTTAGAAATAATCAGACAAGGATAGAATACTGGGACGGGAACTCAACGTTGGTTATCAGATTCTAATGATGGATCATGACAAGAATTCTAAGATTCAGTTGACCTTACACGTGATCTGGTTGGCCTTTTCAGCACTGCTGGACGAAACGAGTTGTATCTTTCAGTACTCCTCAGCTTTATCAACTCCTACGCTTTGACCATTAACGCTGCAGGCTTTTTCCTTCTCACTTTGTCTTCTTTTTCTTTTCTCTTTTCATTTTTTTTCATTAATTATCAAACGCTTCGCGGTTTCCTAATATTGTCCGGAACATCTGGCTTGGTTCTCAAGGTTAGATTCAGTGCCTTTCGAAGGGTCGGATCTCAATAAACCCACTTCCCCCTTTGCCCTTCCCCAGTTTTCACTTTTTTTTATAAAAATTGCTTAATAATTCTCAGCGGGCCAGTTTTGACATCTCAAAATATTTGAAATGTTCTATTGAAAGCAAGCTGATAAAAGTGTATCTAATTAAAAACCGAAATTGATGCTCAGTGATGTTTGGTTATCATTTAACTTGATTATTTATCTTTACAAATCAATATCACTATCAGGGAACCGACGATGGGTGAGCTGTTCGCACCACGGATCAAAGAACGAGGATCGATATCAGCCGATCAGGCGCTCATCCATATGATTAAGGTATTTATGTCACTGAATGGGCGGAGTTTGTGCGACGGAGATGCAGAGAGTTGAAATGTGGGCTAGAGACGCAGAGAAGGATTCAAGAACAAATTGGTAAAAACAAGGGGAAATGAATTGGGAGAGAAGGAGAGGATAGGTGAGGCATTCACATTAATCGCCCCCGTTTTCGGGTTGCGCCGCGCATCCTTCATTCTCTAAAAACCGCAGTAACATTCCAAATGCGTTTTGGTCCACGCATCAACAGGTGAGGGTTGTTGCATGTACAAATCAGTAGTACCATCCTCCCAAACAACTGAGGTATCAGTTAACCGACTTTGGAGAGATAGAGAGCTTGCTTGCTCCTTCCAGTGTGCGATAATGTGATCCACGCACTGCGCGCGTGGGCAGCACCCCCTGCCACTAAACTACTTACGCCCAGAAACTTAAAGGCATGGGTCGCGTTCAAATTGTTGTTTCACTCCGCTCGAAAAGGAGAAGAAAGCTCTGCCAAAGAGGAAAAGATAAGCCGAATGAACCATAGGAAATACTGTATAAGTCCTCCTTTCTTTGTGAAGTCGACGTGGCATGATGGAAAGACGTGAGGAGAGGAATGCGCGAGAGATCACGTTGAAGGAGAGGGCGCAGAAGCCGAAGAAACCATTTTTAGAGCCACGATTTCGCTGTTTCAGGTTATGATGGGCACCGGTATGTTATCACTGCCGTTGGCTTTCAAACATTCTGGATTATGGGTAGGTTTAGCAATAGTGTCGTACCTTTATCATTCCTAAGTTGTAAGAAATCATTTCTTATCACCACTAATCACAAACTATCGTATTCTTCAGCTTGGCATGTTTCTACTAGCCGCTATTTGTTTGATTTGTATATTTTGTACGCGACAACTCGTCCTTTCACAACATTACATTGGTTTTTTGTGAGTATTTCTTCTTCATTTATCCACACTTTAATTTGTATGATTCGTACTTTCAAGGAAATCTCAACCCCGATTAGATTACGCGAATGTGATGCGCTCAGCGGTCGAGATCGGTCCTCCGTGGATAAGAGATCGCGGTTATTTTTGGAAGTAAGACAGTCTCACTTGTTCGTTGGAGATACCGACAAATCAATCCTTTAGGCAAGTAGTCAACGTGAACATGTTCATGGCGCAGTTCGGTTTTTGTTGCGTGTATTTCGTGTTTATGGCGGACAATCTCAAGCAGGTGATCAATAATCCCGTTCTTCAATTTGTCAAAAGAGAAAAGAGTAATTCTGAAGGAAAACACTAGTCAGTAGGTGCTCAGAGGGCGCTGACAGGCCGCGACCACAACGGCGACTGCCCCCCCCCCCCACTAACTACGTTAGCATTCTTTTATCATTAATACTCCAGTATTTTCCGTGGAATTGCATTAGATCCACGAATGGAGAAAATTTACAAAAGAACTTATGTCTTTCTCCCTATTATTATACCTTTGTATCTGTTAAGTTCTTTGACCAAACATCACAAATCCATATCTCACAAGCCGGTTGGATCGCCTTGCTGGTGGTTCCACTGATGGCACTCTGCACAATCAGAGAACTGAAGGTGAGATCGAACTAAAGGGCCTCATGCTTTTAGGCATTCCCTCTCATTCTCGATTTTTACTCTTACCCCCGTTTAATCCCTCTGACAAGTGTAATGGTAGGAGCTGTTTAGGCCTTAGCTCCTCTGGCAGCCCTAGCAAATGCGGTCTATCTGGTAGCGGTCTGCATCGTGCTGCAGCAGCTTTTCCAATACGATCGTCCTGCTAGCTCATTACCGGCCGTCGCCAACTGGTCAACATTGCCGCTTTTCTTTGGCACCGTCATGTTCGCTTTTGAAGGAGTCGCTGTGGTAAGCATTTTGACCCATTGTAGACCGCCATTATCTTTGCAAGTGTTTGCCGTCTGTTTTGTCAGTAACCAATAGCTTCGCATTAAATTTATCACTTTCTTGATATATGATAATTTCTGTGCCCGAAAAAGCTTAATGTAAGTTTCTTACTTAGAAGAATAGTTAGGACTTGGAGGGTGCCGTAGAGGGTTAAAGGCAGTGAACACGATGACTGGAGGGCGGGCGATGATAGTGACGTCATTGATCGTGATTGGTGGAAGGGCGCCAGGCTTCCTCAGCCGCACCCCAACACGCTGAGGGGCCTCTTCCACCACTGATGTCATCGAAACAGCTCCACACTCCAGTGTTCGCGCTCACTGCTAACGAGGTTTGCCAGGCTGGAATGGATCCTGTCGATTGTGAAGGATTAGAGCGACGTTTCTAGCCGTTGTGCCATCTTCAAAGCGGATCACCATGGCCCGCTTACACCTTTAGCAAGAACTACATACTTTTAGGTGCTGCCGATTGAGAATCAAATGGATGAACCACTGCATTTCATCACTCACCACAATGGTGTACTGAACACTGCATGCCTACTTGTACTCGTTCTGTATATGACCGTCGGGTAAGTCTTGCTCAATTTCTTGACTTTTATGAACTCGCAAACACATCATGTAAAATATTCAGTTGAGAAAGATTACATGCGGTAATATTTCCCAGGTTTAATCTACGCTCATCACTGTTTTTCAGATTTTTTGGATATTTGCGGTTTGGCAACGACATTATGGATACTCTCACGTTGAATTTACCACAGACAAAGTAAGTTGATTTGATAACCATGATTTGTACTGTACATGGATTTGGCCTGAATCAGTATGCTATAACTGTGTCTGCATCATCAAGTGGCTATTTTTATCCAATGTATGAAAGCCCAGTTCGGGTTGAGCCACGCATTCGATTTTCATTGAAAATCGTAGTGGCATTTCAACTTTGATTTTAGTCCTCACAACGTATTCCGAGGGTCAGCTCGAGAACGAATCAGTTTTTGTTTGTTTCGCCTTCATGAACAATCCTTGTGTCTATCAAATCGGTGCCGGGAGAAGGATGGTTTTGTTGATTTGGGTGCGGTTCCATTTGTGGGTAATCCCGACAGCTAATTCAGCAGCATCGCCGGTGATCCTGTACCTTCCTTGCCTTTGGAATTTAGAATGCATACTTGAAGACACTAAGCGCGATTGCTGAACGGCAGACTGTTATGATAACATCATTAAGCCCTGGAAACATGGGGGCAACATCGGCCGTCATTGGTTTAAATGCTTGCTCCCTTCCACCAATCCGCGGCCAATAACATCGTCAGACCTGCCCGCCTCTCAACAATCGCACGCCATGCCTGAGATTGAGTTAAAGGAAGTGGGTACGAAAAGGAATTTTCACATCTGCGGAGAACCTGCTCCCCACAGAGCAACTAGCAGGCCGCCAAGGAAGCGATGTGTGGCGCTTGCACTGCGAACAGTGCTGTGGTTGCTGAGCAGGACCATTGCGCCCTTCCGCCCCATGCGCCGCCCCGCCCCATGATTCATCGGTGGCTTGGGCGAGCCGTGTTGCCAGCCGCAGCGCGGTTAGGGCGCCATGCCTGCTGTTTGCTGCCCAGCACGCGTTGCGCAATCTCGTCCACGCGTGCGCGGTCTTCGCCGCAGTCCATCTGAGAGCCGCAATAAACGGCCCAAAAGGGGGTCCCATTTCTCGTTTCCTGGACCGATTTCGCTGCTTCTTTCGCCACTGACGTACCATTGAGGACCCCCTCGTCCCCTCTAAACCCCATTCAAACCTAGCGTAACCGCTGCCTTTAAGGTGTTCCACGTATCTGATCAATTACTATAGTTTGGAAAGTAGATGATCAGCTCAGCACATGAGAAAATGCATACATTCATATAATAGGGTGGAGCTGCTCGAGTAGGTGGAGCTAGAGCACTGTTGTTATGGCAAATTTGCTACTCTCTCATAATTTCGGACTATTGCTTTTTTGCAATGTCAGATCATTTCAAACGAAAATAAAAGGTGATGGCAAAGTGACTCATCGCTATCCCAGTCCTAAGGTACAGCTAAATAGAAATCGCTATTGTACAGCAGCTAAGAGCCACTTTCTTCTGAATAAAAATGTGGTTTATTAAAAATCTCATTTACAGCTTCTATCAAGTGATTAAGCTGATGTTCGTAGCTTGTATACTAGTTTCATATCCACTTCAATTCTATGTTCCCATGGAACGCATTGAGAAATGGATCAAACGCAAGGTGGGGTCGTTTCATATTTCTTGATTTGTTAACAAGCTCCAGACAACATCGCAGAATACTGAGTGTAGTTGAACAAAACATCAACAAAGGTGGTCAAACGAATGGGAACTACAAGGGCGCAGAAGGGGCGGGGAGGCAGCTGCAAACATTGGTAGAACTCTGGTTCGCAACTTGGCAGATTCGTGAACCTTGCCGAAATCCACTCCCCCCCCCCAGGGTCGCAAAGTTGTCTCCCGGATACGGCCGATCGAAATAACTAAAACCGAACAGAAATAAAGAAAAATAGGTGTTCAACACAACTGTTCTGCTAATGCAGCAATGGCGGTGTGCGGAGTTTGCTAGGTGGGCGGGGTTGCACGGGTTGTAGGCGGGGTTTCCACACGGTCTAGGATGCTCAAATTAATCGAATGAAATTGCTTGCTATCTTTGAATTTGTACGAAATTTCAAGTTTGTTGACACATTTCTTTATGTTCCCATGCTTGTGGACGGAGTATCTCAAAACGGGTCAGAGTGGGCGGATCATGCCAACGATTATTTTGTGTGCCGTAAAATCCGGTCGGCACACAAAGCGCCATAATGATAGTCACTGCAATTGTTTTTCGCTATTAGAGAGATTTTTTAGGTTGCCGTTGAACGGCAAGAGAAACTCATCTACGCTGTACGTATGACAGGAGTAATTTGTACTTGTAAGTAGTTTATTATGCATATATTATTTGTATTCATAAAATCGGTCTAGACGAAAAAAAAACGATAAAATCGATAGACGGAACTATGCAGGTCACCTTTTAATTGGCTTTTTATGAGCACATTTCCTAGGTCTGTTGGCTGAACTCATCCCACACTTGGCACTGTTCATCTCACTCGTCGGATCGTAGCCGGCA